ATAGCGTTTCTACACGGTTTTAGGGTATTTCGCTGAAAATTGACATAAAAATTTGAGAGATAGCCATGGCTACATATTTTTGGCCAGCACTGTAGTATAAGACGTAATCGCTGTGACCACACTTTTCTCATTTTGATGGATGTAAATTGAATCAGCTAACTCACCTGTGACTTTTTGAAGCCCAGGTTGACAAAACGCGCATAAAGATTCGTTCGCTTTAGAGCGAAACTGATAGTATAATCGGGTCTTTTTTTTGCTCTTCTAAGCAACAGATATTAAGCATGAGGTAAAGCTTTGACTGATACTCAATGTTCTTCAAAAGTGAACACTGAGTTCTGCAAAACGTGAGACTAGGCTCTCCTTTTTCCAGCACTTGTTATACTGCATTGTGGTACTTGGGCTTGCCTCTAAGTCCGAGGAACAATAGTGACAATTATTAAGCTGTCCCCTGCTATCATGTCAATGCATCTACCTTCAAACGGTTGACCAGTCGCAGTCCCTGATAAACATATCATGAGTGGGCGCTGATACAACGTTCAGGTATCTTTCATGTTCAGTTGCAATGACGGACTCAAAGCGACAAAATGCTAATGAGAGCGCAAAACACACAGCCCTTACCGACGCAATCCTTGACTACAGCAATTTATACCTTGGAGATGACATGTTCACAAAAATCGTCGAGAAGGCGCGGGGTGCTAGCACCCCCACACGATTAGATCTGCGAGGCAATCGCTTTGAAGCTGGAGCCGCTCGTGCTCTTGCTGCACTGCTACGCACTTCGCACAATGTAGTATCCATCAGTTTGGAATGGAACAATGTAGGTCTATTGGACCAAGGGGTGGAAGCACTTGCTGGTGCATTAGAAATGGATAAGAGGTTGCTGACACTTGATTTACGCAACAATAATATTACACCCGAGGGTGCCAAAGCGCTTGCGAAAGCTCTTCGAGTCAATCAGACCTTGCGTCAGTTGGACTTGCGTTGGAATGATATTGGGAATATAGGAGTTTTGGCATTCACTGAGGCCTTGCAGTTTAATCACTCGCTTTTGACGCTAAAACTTACCGGAAACAATTGCAGTTTGAAGCACGTGGAGAAGTTAGAGTTGTTGTTAAATAGAAATCGTGGGCTCACCGAGACACCATTGCCTCTGACAAAAGATGCTTCTTGCCAGAATGATTGCGAGATTCTCGATAGCGAAAGCCGTACAGATGACCAGCTTTTACTGCAACTATTAGCTGAAAAAGAAAAGCTGGAAATAGCGGTAAACTTATGCAAACAAGAGGAACAAAAAGCGGTAATGGTAAATGCTCTAATCTTGCTTCCGCTGAATTGGCTCATGTATGTGTTTAAAATCATTTTAGCTGGAGGGCAAAGAAGAGCTTATCTTACAGCTTCAACGAGTTCGCAAAGATGCTGACATGGCAAAAGATGAGCGAGATCGATATCAGCAACGTGAAGTTGACGCCAAACGCGATATTCACGAGCTAAAGATGCAATTAGATGAGCTTGAGAACCGTAGAAAATTAGAGTTTGAAGAATATCGCTCTGCACGAAAAGCACTCGAGCGCGAAAATGGAGTTTATCGAGAGAAAGCAAGACAGATGGAGACTCTGCATGGCCAGGAACGAGAAAAGAAAGACAAGCATATTGCACAACTTGAAGAGGCCAAGTATACACTCGAAAACGAAAAGCACAGAACGTCTCTTACGATAAGGTGAGCGGATAGTACTGGTATGAGTACCTCTTCTGAGCTCTTTTGATAATGGTCAGGCAGCAGCAAGACGAGATTATTAAGTTGGAGAATCAACTTCAGGATGCTGAACATTTCTATGCTCGCAAAGAGGAGAGACTGGTGTCAGAACACGACAGCAAGTTAATTGCGGCCCAGCGACAGCATGACCTAGTAATAGGTTCGATACAGATTCAACTCAGCTGCATTTCATCACAGTTTAAAGCGAGTGAAAACACTGTTCGAGAGCTTCAGGAGAGATGCGAAAGTCTACAGGCCAAGTTGCTACAGTCACAGATCGAGCACGAGCAGATCATTGGTAAGCTAAAGCAGGATATGGAAATGGAGGTGCAAGAGCGTGTCCAGCGTATGGTTGGATCGGTTGAAGCTCAAGTTGTCGATGTTAAGAGGGCCCGGCAACACCTTGAGCAAGAAGTGACACAAAATGTTGAGACTATCAGACAACTCCGTCAAGACAATGTGTTACTGCAGCAGGCAAAAAATGAAAAGCAGCGAGAGTTGGATGATACAATTCTAGCACAGGCCACGGCGCTATCGGAGAAGGGAACGCTGTTGGCTACAGCGGTAAGCGAACGAGCTCGCCTTGAAGAGAAGCTGCAATTGCAGCAGCGCAAGATGGAGGACCAGGATGCCCGACTCGTGCAGATGCAGGCATGCTTTAACGAACGGGTTCAGGTATGTTCACCGCCGGGTGGAACCCAACATCTGACCACTTTTCTACAGAGAATATTTTGTAACAGCTTACTATTAGGAATTAACGATGAGCGCAAAAGTTGTGATGGAGAAAAACGCTATTAATGTGAATGAGAAGACAGACATGATTGCTCTCCTCGAGAGTAAAGTGCTTCAACTCGAGCGTGATCTAACTACCCAGAATTACGAGCACGAGAAGCGCATCGACGACTTGGCGGAATCCTTCGGCCGTTTCGTGCAGGAGCAGATCGGAAAGGAGCGGGAACGCCGCAAAAAAATATCAGTAGCGACTATTTTTGACGGCTAGACAATGTAAATTTCTTAGCCGGTTAAATAGATTGGCCATCAAATCTCTGGAGTGGTACTCAAATTGCTGGTCATTTGATGTAACCATGATATTTTTATCCAAGATTTGACAATAGCATCCAAACCTTGTCACACCGTGTCGCTAAATACTTAAGTTGGTGATTGGTCACGAAGTTGAAACGGCGGCCAGACACTCTGCGTTTCAACCACAGGCGCTACTTCAGTGTCCAGGGGAATTCAGACAAGTCTGACCAGTGCAATGACTTGGCGAGGTACGAACTGAATTTGATGACCACGCAATTCACCATTTGCAATTTTTGCCGCTGATGATTATCAACAACGAGCGTCTTGTGATACCGTCAAGTCGCTCCACATCATTTCAACTCGTTAAAATACCGTGCATGACGAACGTACGAATGCTCATTAACCAGTTCCAGACCGCTCCATGTACAAAGTCTGTGACGAAGGCAGAGTTACCTCTGCAGACGAAGTTCAAATTGCGCGTTAAAGAAATGGTCAGCCTCTTCGATCAAATGCAAAATCAGGATTGTCTAGGTGACCAGGCAGTTAAAGAAGAGGATAGTGCTGTGGCTGCGATGCCTGCAAAAACTACTAATTTCAAGTGCCTTGAGATCTCTACTTTCCAGGACCAAATAAAATTCGACTTGAGATCAACAACTACGTCTATGTCAATGTGCTGCTCGAACGTGCCCCGCAGTCCGTCAACATGTTCATGTATTTCGACTGCTTCATTGGACTCACAATCAAGCATAATGGATCCATTTTCACCTGACCTTCTGCAACTATCAGGCGAGGACGGTAAAAAAATACCGATCGATGTTGAAAGTTGTTCGAATGATTCTTTGATCGCAAGGAATCTGCAATCGACGATCCTCTCGAAGCTGGTTCCCAAAACGTCTTGCTGCCATGAGTCAGTTAGTGGAAAATTACTGCCTTCTGAGATAAAAGAGGCAACGAGGCTACCCCCAATACCGGCCAAACTTTGTCGGTCTTTGATCTCGGCAACGATGGCGTTTCCATCAGAAAAAGCACTCTGTCTCTCCTCTATTTCGACACGCAGCTCCGCGACTCGGGTTCCTTCTCAAAGTGCGAGAGGCCGTAGAAATTCAGCATCTATCTCTCGATATCTGAACTATGACAGCTCTCCTCGTTATGCAGCCACAAAGGCTATTAATTTGGAGCGACGTTATAAATTAGAGAAGCGTAATCGCTATCGATGTCTTTTAACTTAACCTATCTAGTCACACAACAAACACATCCATGGATAATAATAATTATTATTTAGCGAGATTAATGATTCATAGTACCACTTATGATTGGCTAAGAATGGTATTCAAGTTGCAGATATGACTGAATATCAAGACTATATCGGCTATAGTCTGGCGGCTTCTTACTACTGCCTCCAAGTCAACAGTGAAGCTATCCAGAACAACAATGCTGATGAGTTTCTAGAACCAAGTGAGACCATTAAAAAGCCCATTTCGAATGTACCAAGCAATATTAGCAACTCTTTGGAAGTACCGCGATTGTCACTTAGGGACTTTAACTGGAAGAATCGTGCTCGCTTTCTTGAACTGATGGAGCGTCACTCATTTGTGGTTATCACAGACATTGACAAAAGAGTAGAAGTTGCGCATCGTCGAGTGCTGCAGGACTTTGAGACTTTCTTTACAAGCGATAACGACCAATGGAAAAATAGTTGTACTAGCAAGCACGTCTACGTGAATGAGAATGGAATACCCTTTTGGTACATGGGATACGAACACACGAGTGTGCGTGACTGCTACCGTGTTGCTTGTGGAGACATGTCGAATCTAGTGTGGCCGTCAATAGAATTTAGGAGCAACTGGTTGTCACTTCAGTGCTGCCTGCAGCGCATTTGCGACCGGGCATTGAGCTTGACCGTCGGATTCGATATTGTGCGGTGCCACGCACGACCTGATAAAGACTTTTCCGTATGCTATGGTCTTCACTACCCAAATGTCGAGGGCAGCGGTCAGTCCGAGACCGAGAATGTTTTCGAGCACATAGACCCAAGTCTGTATGTCGTGGAGCCTGTACCTAGTGTCGAGGGCTTAGATGTGTTTGATCAGCATACGAAGCAGTGGCTCAACGTAGAATCAGTATGCGTTCCTGGCAAGGAGATTGTACTTTTTGGTGGCCACGCGTTAAGTAAAGCCACACAAGGACGGATCTTAGGAACGTTGCATCGCGTTCGGCGCACCCCGAATCGGCGTTTCTGCATTATATATGAGCAAAAGTATGAGGAGTACTTCCTATAACGCGGTTGAATCTTTCACTTATCGCACAATGGCTGCAGTCTACAAAAGAGGCGCTAACTCTCAAGAAATGTCGAGCAAGTTTTTCGTTGAAATGTGAAATCGTAGATTACATTGCCAACTTCAGCGTTGTATACGCTTAAAGCTTCCGCCGATCCGTTCTCCAATGAAGTTTATGATTTCTTGACTACACTGACGAACCCACTTGCTGCGGAAAAGTATTTGTTATTTGCCCTGGCTACGCGAGCCTTAGCAACTTCAGGATTCATGAGCTCAATGCCCTGAACGGGCGTAAAGGCGAGACTAGATGCTAGTCCAGAAAGAGGTGGCTTGCTAGCAGAAGACGCGGCGAAATTAGCAGCGCGAAGCTTCTTACTTGACTGCTTCTGTTCCTTGCGCAAAATACGTAGCTTTCCCGATCCTTCCTGACCAAGCCGTCCAGAAGTGATTCCCATCGCGTTATCTCCATACTCTTCGTCAGCAGTGGCAAACGACTGCCGATTCAATTCACGTCGCACATCTGTCATCTGCAGCCGCTCTTTCATCTTGCGATAGCGTTTGCCACCACGTTTGCGACGTGGTTTTTCATCTGGAACAGGCAGAGCCTTTTTCGACTTGGCCTTTTGAGGTTCCTGCCATTTGTCCATCTTTTCTACAAGCTCAGTACGGAAGCGTGCACCGACAAGTCCTTCTGTGTCATTTTGATGCGGCTGGCTATCCACACGCGCCATCAGCGCTAATTTACCAGCAACCGCTCTGCACGCCTTCATTCGCAAATACGGCGGCACACTTTGGACGAGGTCACTAAAGAATAAAATACCTGTATGCTTGAGTGCCGCCGCGGATGAAAATCCACTTAAAACTTTCTTTTCTTGTCCCAAAACCTGCAAATTACACGAAGGGATCCGTGCTAATTGTGCCACCCCGCCAGCAAGTCCAATAAGTTGTGCAGCTATCCGTGTACCCACGAGCTGCGAAAGGTTAGGCGCCAAGTATTTCATTCGGCTTTCTACAAAGCGCAAAATCATATTTTTATCATTTTCCAGCGACAGCAACTCATCACATGCTTCCATACAGACTTTCAATGCTAATGGATCCAGCGGTTTGCCACTGGTGCCTGAACCCGTCACGGAGATTCCGATCACTGCTGAGCTTGGTAAGATTTTGGGCAGCTCTTCCACGAGCGTCAAATCCATCTCATTGCCAACAGCTTTAACAACGCGAGCATAGTCCAAAGCGTTAGGTACAAGTGAGTCGAGCTCTGGAAACTTGGCCGCGTAGATGTCGGCAATAAAGCGGTGCACGACCTCAATTTCGTCGTCGATTTGCACCATTAGGTCATTTGACGTCACCACTAGATCATACTCCGGGCTGCCTTCCTCAAGTGGTCGAGGTTTGGAAATGCTAGCAGCAGATTCGTCATCCACGTCCACGTATTGCTGAATCTTCTCAACGTGCGAAAGGTACTTGGGCGAATATTTAAGTGTCAGAACAGCCGCGACGCTGCGATGCTTGTTATTTGACTTTATCAAATCATCCGCCTTTTTCGTACCAGATTCCGAGTCCTCTGGTCGAGGCTCAGAGGCGCTATGAGCTTTAGGCATCTGTTCGTCGACATTGCCTTCATCATGCTCCTCGATATCATGGAGAGTGGTATCAAGGTCAGTATAGGTTGCTTGTATCTCATTCTCTTCGCTGCTCCCCCCACTAAGCTCGTCCAGGTCCTCAAGAAACGAATCTGCGAGTGTCGACATGCCAGCAGAAGTTTTTGACAATTTAATTATTTATCGGATACAAAATTCAAGTGATGTGGCGATTGGAGCAAAGGCATTCAAGATAAATAATATATTTTGTTTCATTTCCCAAAATTATGCCGCGAGACGCTAATGGCAGCATCTGGCGTCGCAAAACTCCGACTGCTGAACGCAAAGATAGCGACGCTGAGCACCAGAAGAAGCGTCCGCGCCGCGGAGGGCGTCGCAATGACGGCAATAAAAATGCCAGAGAGGATAGTAAAGGCGACAGCCAAACCAAACCAGCGGCTGTCGCTGATTCAACTATAAAGCAAGAGGCATCTTCTCTTGATGTTGGGGTTACGAATCCTGTCAATTTGGACTATTTGTCTGACGTATTCTTCGCATCGTTGGACATCTCCGCTAACAGTAAACGCGCCATCGTTGAAGATCTCAAGTATGAGCGACTCACTCACGTGCAGAACAAAACGTTTGCACTAATTACAGAGGGCAAAGACGTGCTTGCCAAGGCGAAAACAGGAAATGGAAAGACCATTGCTTTTCTTTTACCCGTAATTGAGAAATTGGTCAAGGATGGCCGTCGCTCAGACGTCATTCCAGTGCTTACCATCTCGCCGACACGTGAGCTGGCACAGCAGATCGCCACCGAGGCCACGCGCGTCACCAAGTTTCACGATATCAAGATCGCTTGTTTTGTGGGTGGTATCAGTATCAAGAAAGATGAGCGTGCTCTTACATCCGGAACTCCGATCGACATTTTAGTAGCCACTCCTGGACGTCTTGTTGACCACCTAAAGCAAAATACTGGTAACATTGTGACTCGCTTGGGTGAGTGTAGTGTCTTAATTCTAGATGAAGCCGATCGACTTTTGGATATGGGTTTTCGCCCTGACATTATGCGTATCATCGGATATTTACCTCTTGAACGTCAAACGCTTCTGTTTAGTGCGACATTCCCTACTTCTACCGATGAGTTAAAGCAAGTCGCTTTGCGCGAGGACTATGCGTTTGTGGACACCATCGATGAGAACGAGGCAGATACAAACGTGCAAACCGACCAAACGTACATTGTATGCGAGATGAAGAACGTTATCTCTATCGTGGAGTGTGTACTGACGGAGCATATGAAGCTACCAGCGTACAAGGTAATTGTTTTCTTCCCGACGGCTCGTTCGGCGCAATTTATGGCGCAGTTATTCCAGGCTGCAGGCTTTCCAGGTATTTTAGAGATACACTCGCGAAAGAGTCAATCGGCGCGAACGAAAACTGCTGATGCATTTCGGAAGAGCAGAAAAGTAATAATGTTTTCATCTGATGTGTCAGCGCGTGGTGTGGACTATCCCGATGTGTCTCTTGTGTTGCAAGTAGGCTTTACCGATCGCGACCAGTACATTCACCGTCTTGGACGGACAGCTCGCGCTGGTATGACAGGCAAAGGAATTCTTATTTTGTCTGAATTCGAAACGGTTGTACTTGACAATTTGGCGGATTTGCCTTTGATTCAGAGCACAACTTACTCTCCTGACATGCTGATGCCATCGCAACTGAAGACATTGAAAGTTGTAAAGAGTCTTAAAAGTTTTAGCGAACTAGATAGGTCGGCGCAGCAATCATACCAAGCGTGGCTCGGTTTTTACAATACGCAAATGAAACGCTTGAAGTTAAATCCTGAGCGTCTCGTGCAACTTGCGGCCGATTACAGTCGAATTATTGGTTTGGATGAGGTGCCAAAGCTTGAGAAGAAGACACTCGCAAAGATGAGGCTCCTTGGCGTGCCTGGTATCCAGCCTTCACCATACACGCGTGACAACGGAAGTAACTCCAGCGGAGGTACTGGTGGTCGCGATGGCAACGGTAACGGTAGTCGCGGTGGGCGCAATAGTAGAGGTATCGGCGATCGCAATCGCGGGGGTAATCGTGAAAGCAAGAATCGCAGGTAAGTCATGAGGCAAGAATTGTGATTAGATTCTGCGAAAGATTTCTTCCTTTTAGAGGTACATCCATCCAAATAAAATTAAGACTGGTCGGAATGTGACTCAAAAGTTTTTTAAAGTGTAACACATATTTGTTGGAGTACAAAGTTA